TTGAACATACCCCTAATTCCATAAAACATCTCCCCAACCCCTCAACTCCAAACCAACCAATAAAAGATGTCCCTAACCCTGAGGGCAAACTCTGTCGGGAGAGGGGACTTCGTCCTCTAAGATTGCTTCAAGCTGACATGGGGGCGATGTTCTCCTTAGGGGCTCCTGTGAAAGCAAATGATGGTAAAATTCCCATATTAACCTTTGATCTAAGAAAATTATAACTAGTCCCTGAGCGCTTTGAGAAGGTCCGGCCAGAGTGTTGTCAAAAATGTGCACCATTCGAAATTGTCTTGTGCAGTTGGTACCAAAAAACAGGTCTCATATTAGTGCGTAATATCAATACTTACAGAATGTATAGAATATTACTGTTGCTCCTTAGTGGGTCGTAACTATTTTCCATCCATCAGTAATTAAACATTTAGGCTGCCTTAAATTCTTTGATGGTCAGTATTTTCCTGTGGAGATAAAAAAAGAACCGTGCCCCCTATCTATCTGTATTCCTTAGGGTTAGGGTTAAGGTTAGGGTTAGGGTTAGTGTTGGGGTTAGGGTTAGGTGTTAGTGTTAGGTTAGTGTTAGGGTTGTGGTTAGGGTTAGGGTTAGGGTTAGGGTTAGGGTAAGGCTTAGGTTTAGGGTTTGGGTTAGGATTAGGTTTAGGGTTAGGGTTAGGGTTAGTGTTAGGGTTAGGGTTAGAGTTAGGGTTAGGGTTAGGTTTAGTGTTAGGGTTAGGGTTAGGGTTAGAGTTAGGGTTAGGGTTAGGGTTAGGGTTAGGTTTAGAGTTACTGTGAGGGTGAGGGTGAGGTTCAGGGTGAGAATGAGGGTGAGGGTGAGGGTTAGGTTTGGGATACTGTTTAGGGTTAGGGTTAGGGTTTAGAATTAGGGTTAGGGTTAGGGTTAGGGTTAGGATTAGGATTAGGATTAGGGTTAGGTTTAGTGTTAGGGTTAGGGTTAGGGTTTAGGGTTAGGGTTAGGGTTAGGGTTAGGGTTAGGGTTAGGATTAGTGTTACGGTGTGGGTGAGGGTGAGGGTGAGTGTGAGAATGAGTGTGAGGGTTAGTGTTAGGTTTAGGGTTAGTTTTAGGGTTAGGGTTAGGGTTTAGGGTTAGTGTTAGGGTTAGGGTTAGGGGTTAGGGTTAGGGTTAGTGTTAGGGTTAATGTTAGAGATAGAGTTACTATGAGGGTGAGGGTGAGGTTTATGGTGAGAATGAGGGTGAGGGTGAGGTTTAGTTTTAAGGTTAGGGTTAGAGTTTAGGGTTAGGGTTAGGGAGAGGGTTAGAATTAGGGTTAGGGTTAGGGTTAAGGTTAGGGTGAGGGTGACTGTGAGGGTGAGGGTAAGAATGAGTGTGAGGGTTACGGTAGTGTTAGGGTTAGGGTTGAGGTTTAGGGTTAGGGTTAGGGTTAGTTTGAGGGTGAGGGTGAGGGTTAGGGTTAGGGTTAGGGTTAGTGTTACGGTGTGGGTGAGGGTGAGGGTGAGCATTAGTGTTAAGGATTAGTGTTAGGTTTAGTGTTAGTTTTAGGGTTAGGGTCAGGGTTAGGGTTTAGGGTTAGTGTTAGGGTTAGCGTTAGGCGTTAGGGTTAGGATTAGGATTAGAGTTAGAGTTACTTTGAGGATGAGGGTGAGGTTTAGGTTGAGAATGGGGGTGATGGTTAGGGTTAGGTTTAGTGTTTAGGGTTAGGGTTAGGTTTAGGGTTAGGGGTTAGGGTTAGGGTTAGGGTTAGGGTTAGGGTTAGGGTTAGGGTTAGAGTTACTGTGAGGGTGAGGGTGAGGTTTACGGTGAGAATGAGTGTGAGGGTGAGGGTTAGGGATACTGTTTAGGGTTAGGGTTAGGGTTAGGGGTTAGCGTATGGGTTAGAGTTAGGTTAGGGTTAGTGTTACGGGTTAGGGTTAGGGTTAGGGTTAGGGTTAGGGTTAGGGTTAAGGTTAGGGTTAGGGTTAGGGTTAGGGTTAGGGTTAGGGTTAGGGTTGGGGTTAGGGGTTAAGGGTTAGGGTTAGGGTTAGTGTTAGTGGTAAGGTTAGAATTAGGGGTTAGGGTTGGGGTTAGGGTTAGGGTTAGGGTTAGGGTTAGGGTTAGGGTTAGGGTTAGTGTTAGGGTTAGGGTGAGGTTGAGGGTGAGGGTAAAGGTTAGGGTTAGGGTTAGGGTTAGGGTGAGGGTGAGGTTGAGGGTAAGTGTTAGGGTTAGGGTTAGTGTTAGGGTTAGGGTTAGGATTAGTGTTATGGTGTTTGTGAGGGTGAGGGTGAGGGTGAGAATGAGTGTGAGGGTTAGTGTTAGGTTTAGGGTTAGTTTTAGGGTTAGGGTTTAGGGTTAGTGTTAGGGTTAGGGTTAGGGGTTAGGGGTAGGGTTAGTGTTAGAGATAGAGTTTCTATGAGGGTGAGTGTGAGGTTTATGGTGAGAATGAGGGTGAGGGTGAGGTTTAGTGTTAGGGTTAGGGTTAGGGTTTAGGGTTAGGGTTAGTGATAGGGTTAGACTTAGGGTTAGGGTTAGGTTTAGGGTTAGGGTTAGAGTTACTGTGAGGGTGAGGGTAAGGTTTAGGGTGAGAATGAGGGTGAGGGTGATTGTTAGGTTTAGGGATAATGTTTAGTGTTAGGGTTAGGGTTAGAATAAGGGTTTGGGGTTAGTGTTATGTTTAGGGGTAGGGTTAGGGTTAGGGTTAGCTTTACAGTTAGAGTTACTGTGATGGTAAGGGTGAGGTTTAGGGTGAGAATGAGGTTGAGGGTGAGTGTTAGGGTTAGGGTTTGTGTTTAGGGTTAGGGTTAGTGTTAGGGTTAGGCTTAGGCTTAGGCTTAGGTTTAGGGTTTGGGTTAGGATTAGGTTTAGGGTTAGGGTTAGGGTTAGGGTTAGGGTTAGGGTTAGGGTTAGGTTTAGGCTTAGGCTTAGGTTTAGGGTTTGGGTTAGGATTAGGTTTAGGGTTAGGGTTAGGGTTAGTGTTAGGGTTAAGGTTAGACTTAGAGTTAGGGTTAGGTTTAGGGTTAGGGTTAGTGTTAGGGTTAGGCTTAGGCTTAGGCTTAGGGTTTGGGTTAGGATTAGGTTTATGGTTAGGGTTAGGGTTAGTGTTAGGGTTAGGGTTAGAGATAGGGGTTAGGGTTAGGGTTAGGTTTTAGTGTTAGGGTTAGTGTTAGGGTCATGGCTAGTTTAAGGTTAGGGTTAGGCTTAGGCTTAGGGTTAGGGTTAGGGTTACGGTTAGCGTTAGGGTTAGGTTTTATTGTTGGTTTAGTGTTAGGGTTGGAGTTGGGGTTAGGGTTAGGCTTAGGCTTAGGTTTAGGGTTTGGGTTAGGATTAGGTTTCATGTTAGGATTAGGGTTACGGTTAGCGTTAGGGTTAGGGTTAGAGTTAGGGTTAGCGTTAGGGTTAGGGTCATGGTTAGGTTTTAGTGTTGGGTTAGTGTTAGGGTTAGGGTGTGGTTTAGGCTTAGGCTTAGGCTTAGGCTTAGGCTTAGGCTTAGGCTTAGGCTTATGTGTAGGGTTAGGGTTATGGTTAGGGTAAGGTGTTATTGTTTGGTTAGGTTTAGGGTTAGTGTTAGGGTTAGGGTTAGGGTTAGGGTTACGCTTAGGTTTAGGTTTTGGGTTAGGATTAGGTTTAGGGTTAGGGTTAGTGTTAGGGTTAGCGTTAGGGTTAGGCTTAGGTTTAGGTTAGGGTTTGTGTTAGGATTAGTTTTAGGGTTAGGGTTAAGTTTAGGGTTAGTGTTAGGGTTAGGGTTAGGGTTAGGCTTAGGCTTAGGGTTAGGGTTACAGTTAGTGTTAGGGTTAGGTGTTAGTGTTGGTTTAGTGTTAGGGTTAGGGTTGGGTTAGGGCTAAGCGTAGTTTTAGGGTTTGGGATAGGTTTAGGTTTAATGTTTGGGTTAGGGTTAGTGTTAGGATTAGGGTTAGAGTTAAGGTTAGGGTTAGGGTTAGGGTTAAGGTTATGGTTAGGTGTTAGTTTTGCGTTAGTGTTAGGGTTAGGGTTAAGGTTAAGGTTAGGCTTAGGTTTAGGGTTTGGGATAGTATTAGGTTTAGGGTTAGGGTTAGTGTTAGGGTTAGGTTAGGGTTAGGGTTAGGGTTAGGCTTAGGTTTAGGTATTGGGGTAGGATTAGGTATAGGGTTAGGGTTAGGCTTAGGCTTAGGCTTAGGCTTAGGCTTAGGCTTAGGGTTAGGGTTAGGGTTAGGGTTAGGCATAGGCTTAGGCTTAGGCTTAGGTTTAGGGTTTGGGTTAGGATTAGGTTTAATGTTAGGGTTATGGTTAGTGTTAGGGTTAGGGTCATGGTTAGGTGTTATTGTTGGGGTAGTGTTATTGTTAGGGTGTGGGTTAGGGTTAGGGTTAGGGTTAGGCTTAGTCTTAGGCTTAGGCTTATGTGTAGGGTTAGGGTTAGGGTTAGGGTAAGGTGTTAGTGTTTGGTTAGTGTTAGGGTTAGGGTTAGGGTTAGGGTTACGCTTAGGTTTAGGTTTTGGGTTAGGATTAGGTTTAGGGTTAGGGTTAGCATTTAGTTTAGGGTAAGGAGTATTAGTACGGGTTCCCGTTGGGTTTTATTATGGTTAGTGTTGGGGTCATGGCTAGTTTTTGTGTTAGGGTTAGGGTTAGGCTTAGGCTTAGTTATAGGGTTAGGGTTAGGGTTAGGTGTTAGTGTTGGGTTAGTGTTAGGTTTAGGGTTAGGCTTAGGCTTAGGCTTAGGTTTAGGGTTTGGGTTAGTGTTAGGGTTAGGGTTAGAGTTAGGGTTAGCATTAGGGTTTGGAATAGGGTTAGGCTTAGGGTTAAGCTTAGGCTTAGGTTTAGGGTTTGGGTTAGGATTAGGTTTAGGTTAGAGTTAGGGTTAGTGTAGTGTTGGGTTAGTGTTAGGGTTAGGGTTAGGGTTATGGTTAGAATTAGGGTTAGGTGTTAGTGTTGGGTTAGTGTTAGGGTTAGGGTTATGGTTAGGATTAGGCTTAGGCTTAGGTTTAGGGTTTGGGTTAGGAATAGGATTAGGGTTAGGGTTAAGGTTAGTGTTAGGGTAAGGCTTAGGTTTAGGGTTTGGGTTAGGATTAGGTTTAGGTTTAGGGATAGGGTTAGTGTTAGGGTTAGGGTTAAAGTTAGGGTTAGAGTTAGGTTTAGGGTTAGGGTTAGTGTTAGGGTTAGCGTTAGGGTTAGGCTTAGGCTTAGGTTTAGGGTTTAGGTTAGGAAAAGGATTAGGGTTAGGTTTAGGGTTAGGGTTATGGTTAGACTTAGGGTTACGGTTAGGGTTAAGGTTAGGTGTTAGTGCTGGGTTAGTGTTAGGGTTAGGGTTAGGGTTAGGCTTAGGCTTAGGCTTAGGTTTAGGTTTTATGTTAGGATTAGGTTTAAGGTTAGGGTTAGGGGTAGAGTTAGGGTTATGATTAGAGTTAGGTGTTAGTGTTGGGTTAGTGTTAGGGTTAGGGTTAGGTTTAGGGTTAGGGTTAGGGTTAGGGTTAGGGTTAGGGTTAGGTGTTAGTGTTAAGTTAGTGTTAGTGTTAGGGTTATGGTTAGGATTAGGCTTAGGCTTAGGTTTAGGATTTGGGTTAGGAATAGGATTAGGGTTAGGGTTAGCATTAGCATTAAGTTTAGGGTTAGGGGTATGCAGCGGTTGGATTAGTAAGCACCAATTGTACTAGATATTTGAACAAGTTTAATAACAAAACCAGACTCAAGAAACCCAGGTTCAGGGGAGTAGCCGGCGGAGACAGGAAGGGACGCACAGCATCTGTGCGCCCTATTTATCAGTAAACATACGCCCGAGGGCAGCCCACCCCTAAGGGGAGGGCTTATCCCTACATCTCCCTCTTTTTGTCTAAATAAGAGAGAACTAACCTAAATACAACTATAAACAATAATAAGAAATAATAGATATAACAAACAATATTGAGAACGAATGTTTTGCCAGACATTCTATCTCAAGGAGTCTAAATAATGTAGAGAGTTATTACAATTATATAATCTTCAACTCCGTCAAAGATCCGAGAAGGGAATAAATATTACTTAACAAATGAGAGATATCCAAAATGTGCCATAAATGACAGAGACAACACACTACC